TTCACTGATCCATCAGCCCCCAGACCAGTGTACAGTAAGAGATTCAGTGGTCAGATTGCACTAGCTAGAAGAGCTGGACTATCAGGATATGAAGGTTTATACAAGTGTATCATTCCTGATGAGAATGGAGTGGATCAAACACTAGTGGTTGGAGCATATACTGATACTGGATACAATAACAATGGTATGTGATGAATATAGACTATAATTAATGTATTTCTTTTACAGATGGTCCTAATGCTGATCTTACTATGCAGTTCTCTCTCCTCTCCACTAGTAGATTAGCTACTCCTCCAGTCTTCAGTCTCAGTTTCAATGTCTCTGATGGTCCTCCTACTACTGTCAGTTGTTCAGTGAATGGGAATGGAATATCTACTGAACTGTCTCGTGTGATAGTGAATGGATCAGGATCTGTTACAAGAGTGAGAGTAACAGTGAGACTGAGAGAAGCTGGTAACTATCAGTGTACTGTATCTAATGACAGAGTAACTGATGGTAATAATGGCGTTATTGGAGGTGTTCAGGCATTAAGTAGTGGCACATCATTGAGTTTATCAGGTTTGTTATTTATAATTTATTTATAATTTCATTCTCATACTCATACAGTATCTGATACTCCAACTGGTTTAACTGCTACAAGATTAAGTACTGGTTTAGCTCAAGTAAGACTCACCTGGTCTACTGTATCAGGAGCTACTGGTTATGAGGTCTACTATCAACTGTCTAGTAATACTCCTGTTAGTGTAGGCACTACTGCTTCAACAACAATCAATATAACATCAGGATTGCTTCAAGGAAGTACATACACTTTCTATGTAGTATCATATGGATCAGCTTCTCTACCAAGTGGTAACGCTTCAGTTATTTTAACAATTAGTAAGTTATCATTATTTTAATTTATGTATGTGCATGTATAATATTATTTAGGTAATCCAGTGGTTAGTGTCTTTATAGCTACATTAATAAGTACTTCCACTACATTAACATGGAGTCCACCAACTGCTGTAGTACCAATTAGTTATAATATTAATAGGAGATGTAGGAGAGTATGTGAATCATCAGTCACTAGTAGTAGTGAAACATCAGTTTCATCACCACATACTTCAACTTTTATACCTCCTTACAGTCAATGTGCCTTTGATCTTATTGGAGTATATGGAGCTGAGATAGCTTTTTTCAGAACTAATTATTTGGCTACTACACTTTCAACTGGTAAATAATAATCTTTCAGTTTTTTAAATTGCTGTTGTCATTTCTTTCTATAGCCCCTACTGCACAAGTGGATGATATTATATTCTCATCAGTAGAGTTAGTGTCAATGACTGTCTCATGGGATGAAGTACCTTGCAATGGAAGGAATGGACCAATCACTGGATACTACCTCACATACACTAACATCACTTCAAACACTAGTTATACTGTTAATATCACTGGAGGAGACAACAGAATGTATAATCTCACAGGATTAATACCATATACTAACTATACTGTGAGTATAATGCCTTATAATTATAATATGAATGGACCAGCTAGACAAGAAATACAATTAACTGCTGAATCAAGTAAGTCAATGAGATAGTGATCAGTTAGCATAAATTTAACACAGTTCCTGGTGTGATATCTGATCTAAGACATGGAAAGTTACCAACTGCAATAAATATTGTATGGAATCCTCCTACAATACCTAATGGTATCATTACAGTATATGAGATAAGATATAGAGAGTCTACCAGTACTGGTCCATACAATATAGCTAACACTACTAACACTTATTACAGTATAGTAGGATTGATACCTAATACTAGTTATACTATTGGAGTGAGAGCATATACTAGTATTGGACCAGGAGAATGGACTGATAGAGAATACACTACTATTGAAATACGTAAGAAATTATTGAGAATACTAGTCTATGATGATGTTTTTAAATTTTAGCTGTCATTGAAACCTTTTCTATAACAAAGCTCAATTCTACAGCAGTGAGGGCTGAATGGAGTTTTGTTTCTAGAGCTAGTCATTATACTGTCTATTATGAGTCAACCAGTAGCTCCTCAAGAAAGAAGAGACAAGTAGAGACAGGAATGAGAGTATTCCCAGGTGATACTACTGAAGGTCTAATAGAAGGATTAGATCCTAATCTGAACTACTTGTTCTCTATATCTATATCATTTAATGTTAATGGAATCATTTATGAAGGAGAGAGGACTCAGCGAATTCCACCAGGTAATACTACACTTCATAAATAATGCTTAATACATGTATTTAGGTGCTACTCTAACTCCTACTATTGTATCAAGCACTTCATCAGTCATTGGTGTTACAGGATCATCATCAAGTAAGACAGTACATATACTAATAGATGTATGTAGTCAGTTTATTTTAAAGTAATTTCATTAATAGTGTCATTAAATATGAGTAAACATATCACTGTTGATGCATGTACTAATCAGTTTATGTTTATAGTTAGTACTTATTCTACTGAGACAACTACCATGATTACTCCATTGACTACTCCATTGACTACTGTGTCAACTACTGTATTAGTGAATAATGGAATAAATATTGGAGTAATAGTTGGCCCAATTGTAGTTCTTACTGTATTATTAGTACTGGCTATAATTATAATTATTATACTGGTACTGGTTGTATACATAAAAAGAACTAATATTAATCAAAAAAGGTAAATGTGTACACATTCATTACTAAATTAATTTTAAAATTTATAGAAAATCAGATAATGATATTGTAATGGAGTGCAGTCCAGCTTATGCTACAACTAAATTTAAAACAAAGTTAGTTACACTATTGACTATTACATTATGTCTATACACACACATATACAGTACTACTGATGACATACTAATGAAGGATAGTCCAGCATACAGTACAGTACAACAAACACAGTCAGTTATATAAAATACAATTATTATTATTATTTAAAGTTATTATTAATAGATCAACTGTTGAGCCAGTGTATGATACAACTAATAATGAATATGAGACTCCTCTTCCACCACCTGCTGAATATGAAATACCAACTGTTTAATAATGTACTTGTCTTTTACATAGTAAAAACTTGGAATAGTAATTTAGCTAGTTGATTAAAATGTGTGCTTGCGATAGAAAAAATTTTTTAAATGTTAGTTGAAATGCCACATTTAATGTAACTAACTAAATACTGATACACATTAAATTCCCTGGTCATATAATTTTGACATCTGACTGAAAATTTATTAATGGATGTCTATTTATATTTTTGGTAAATAATGTGCATGCAGTGCTCTTAATAGCTGGTTATTTATGTTGTCACTGTGATGTCATCACTGCTGTATTCAGCAACTGATAACTTAAATAGTTTTACTGGATCTATTAGTGTTGTGGAGGAACTACTCCTTGAATATAAACTCTCTGGATCTACATCCAGTGAATCATTTCTAGGAAATAGGATGACACTCTCAACTAGTTCTTGTTTTCTTTCAACTTTCATGAAAGCATACTACCTTATGGTTAGTTTACTGATGGTACAAGCAGCAACAGAACAATGCTCCCCCAATGTGAACAATAGTAAGAATTGGTACTTAATCATAATAATTATTAGTATTCTGTATTTCTCTTTCTATAGCTAGTCATACTCTAGCCCCTAATGCACCAGTGAGTGATATTATATTCTCATCAGTAGAGTCAGTGTCAATGACTGTCTCA